AACCACCAACTACAGAACAATTGAAAAGTCGTTGAACATCACCATCATCACCACTCTTTCTACTGTTGCCAAACGAAAGAATTTTACCTACTATTTATGTACGCAGGTTATGAATGATGATATGTTTCTAACTGAATGGTTAGATCATAATTTAAATGTTGTCGGTTTTAAAAATATTTGTTTAATTAATGTTGGTCAACCTATTTCTGAAAATATCACCAAAAATTATAAAAATAAAATTGTCATCATTAATTTTAATACAACAATTAAAAAGCAACATTTTCATTTATGTTTGACATGTTTTACTACAATTCGTCCTAATGATTTATTAATGATACAAGATATTGATGAGTTTCTAAATGTACGAAATTCAAATTATTTACAGAATAATTATGATTTGTATGATCAATTTCATTTTAATGATCTAAGATTTGGTTATGTATATGAGAAAACAAATGATTTAATAAATAAAAAATTATTAGAAACAAATGTTTATCGAAGACCGCATAAAGGGTTAGGTACGCAAACATTAGTAATATCAATCTAAATAATTATTTATAGAGAAAAATATTTTTTAGGTGAATATGATGATGGTGATGTTCAACGACTTTTCAATTGTTCTGTAGTTGGTGGTTGGACATCGTGTGGTAACGGTAACGGTAAACAAATGATTAAATATGGTCTTATTCAAGAATTAACACCACATTTTCATAAAAGTAAAAATAATCGAAGTAAAATATTATATGTAGATATGAAACAAATTCGTTTACAACACTATTTTATTCGAACTAAAGAAAATGGTTTAATAAAAGGTGGAAAATGGAATAAATTAACTTTGGTAAACGGCGTTATTGAACGAAATAATTATTTTAAACTCATCTATGATAATTCAATACTAACGTCGAAAAGATTAATTTGAAAATAATATCTATTCATAACTAAATTCAACAAAGAGTAAAGTCTTTTAGTTAGATGAACTGATTTTCAATTTACTCGTTAGCAATGGGAGAATGATTTAAAGTATTAAGCAATGAAACAAGACGGTCAAAGACTTCAATGAAAACTGACATTTAATAACAACATTTAATTCTCAGCATTCAATAGAGAATATGTATAACAAAAAATTCAAAATCATATAACTCCCCTATACTGAGTATAAGTATGAGTCAATATTCCTCTACTCGAAGAACGAAAAACTGATATGTTATCATTATTTTTATTTTTTTGAATAGAGAGCTTTACCGTACAGCGCTTTGTGCTTCTTTTTAATGTCGCATAAAGTCAATGTTACTAATTCCAATGGATATTGAACGTCTTTACTTTAGTCACTTATTTTTAAGGAGTTTCTTGGTAAACCAATATTTTTATATTTCCCAGTAGTAGAAAGTGTATTGGATTTAATAGTGAAAAAACGCGTTAATTATCTGTACAAATGAATGGGTAATCACTGGTACACTGACAAAGGTTTATTAAAATATCTTTTGTAATTACGGAGATATTTATTCGAAAATTTTCAAAATGTGTGAGTGCCAAGGCACCCATGGCAACCGTCGTTCTGCAGCCTCTTTAGTGGTGCACGAAATGTAAATGTTGTTGTTGACTTTATTTTGCGGTTTGAATAATACCTACAAATTTGTATTTTAACTTGACTCGAATTTTAACGAGTAGTAAGGTACTGGTAATTCAAAATTACAGCACGAATTTTTTTTTCCGGTTCTTTTAGGATGGTTGAATGAAGCGCATCGAGTTGCATCGGAAAAACACAATTGCACATTTTAAGAAGTCATTTTTTGGTGAAAATACCGATTTTTTGATTTACCACATGCCATTACATAGTTTTTCTCATAGCTGAAAAGAAGGATAAAAGAATAAACTCACTCAATAAATTTGAATCAATCAATAATGAATAAACATCACCACCTGTTGTTTCAAATTCAATTAAATAATGTTTGGCTATAAAGCTTCAAGATTGAGACCACTTTTTTTATGATTATTATGTCATAATTGGTAGAATTATTTCAATGGAAGCCTGGATTTAGAAGCTTATCAAGCAACATTACGATCATTAAGTTATCGTTATTTAGTTGTGTTAGATGATTAAAGATGATGATAAGTATGAACCTAAAATATAACTGACCTGTTTGTTGTATTCCTTCTATTGTACTATATTTGTGTCTACAGCAACCAATCATGCCCAATTACAGAGTGATTCAAAATTATAAATAGTGTACAAAGTATGTGAACAGAGCAAACTTTCAAATCCGAATTGAGAACACATTTTATTTGTATAAGAAACGAGAAAATATATGCATTCCAAATTACTGCTTTTTTTACTGTAAAATTTTCACTTTCAGATTCAGACCACTTTTTAAGTCTAATTAATAATCATCGAACAAAAGTGGTCTCAATCATGAAGCAGCCCTCCGCCTTATGCATAAAAATGTCTATAGCATGAATAATCAAATTGTTATCGTCGATCAGAATACTGTTTGACGTTAAAATGCTGAATGAATATTGATTATTCGAGAAAACTTTGGGAAGCTAAGAAAAAGTTATCCACATTGTAAGAAGGATGATTTCAGCTTTAATCTTAACATACGCGATTAACTCACTCAGCTGAATCTTATCTAACCTCTATGTTTCAAAAATATAAGAAAAAAAATTTTGCAAAAATCATGAGAAGGATCACAAATATCAAAACCTTACATAAAAGTTTCGCGAACCAAAGTGATGAGGCACGGTTCAGACTTCACTCTGACACGCTCTATATTGAAAAAATCGAATCCGTTGTGAGATAAAAACTTACTTTATCACTCACATCCTTTAGTAATTTACACTGATTAACTTTAACTTAATGCTTTTTGTCGAAATATTTTGTTCACATTTTTCTGCTCAAGCTAAAAATTTCTTCTTCTCAACAATTAAGAAATACTGTTCTCGGTCATCTAAGTTTGAATTTGTAATCTGACGATGTTGTTGGACGGCTCCTTTGCACGATGAACCGAAAAACATCTTTAGCACTTGCTCATAGGAGTCTCCACGTTCATAAGCTGCCAGAATCTTCGAAACAATTTAATCGCCACGTTTTTCTCTATAAAATTCAAACGTGAATGCTGAAAGAACATGCCGTATTTTAGGAACGAAAGGGAGTTAAAAGAAACTACTGCTTAACTTTTATCACCTCGATGAGATGAATCTAACGGCGGTAAAATAAACGTTCCATTTCTTTTTAAAAATGACTTGATGCTTTTTTCAGCTAAAAGACTGGTTTTTGAGCTGTCGAAGAAAGCAAAAATTGGTCGATCATACGCACGAGAGCTGAACGATCGAAAACTACATTTTTAGAATCAGTTTATCACGTAGA